GAGCGCCCCCTTTTTGGGGGGCTGTGGAGAAAGTTTAGCATATACCATCGAAACAAATGCACTTATCACGAACGAATATAGTGATGTCACACATCAAATTAAACAGTAGAACCTGGGCTACAAGAATACGCTCCAAACACAACTCAAACATTAACGAAATGAATTACCAAATATTAAAATCCATATAGCGCCACCTAGTCAACCCACTCGCCACATTTCTGGCTCTACCGCTGTGGTATTTTATGCAATACGCACACACGATATCTCAAAAGAAAGCAGCCACTCCACAGATTCCGTACATATACATCAATAACAAAGCATGAGCGAGATATGAGCCAAAGAACACCAACAACAGAAATCGCTTCATCAAACGATAGTTATAAAATTTCTCTTACCGTTGCTGTTTTTCATCAATATATATTTATTTTCCCGGTAATTCCAGACTGAAATACATTACAACTACGTCCTGTGTTACACTAAAATCATTCCGGGCGTTTCTAGGTTGCTGTCGGTCCAAGCAGGAAGTATAAGAATCGCCTTGCGTCATAGCCAGCACGTTTCACAGGATGGCGCCCTGCTGATTCTGATTGGCTAACAGTGCTGTTAATCTCATTCTGGTTGGTATAGCTAAATTGTATTGGCTCTAACGCTTCAAATGAGGTATCAATCACTGAAATCGACCAATGGGTTGCTGAGATAGTGCCCTGCGTACTTACAGGGGGCTGACATCGAGAAAAACTCTATAGTACGCAGAGAGACACAGAGAGGACTCAGAGAGGATGCTGGCTTTCAAAATAAAGCCCAAACTTCTGTATTTGGATGAATTGAACACCATTAGTAATATACAAGTGAAATATATAGTTTGGTACATGAGAAAATTTAAATGGCACACATGGTGCCAAAATGACCATTTTGGAGACCTCACCTGAATTCTCTGTACTAAAACCTCTCTAATTTTGTTCTGCTTCACTTTATCAAAGTTAGACTTTGCAGAGACACTGTTCATATATTGTGCTATGATTTGGGCGAGGTTTAGACCTGCAGCTGCATCATTCTAAAGAAATAATAATCCTGTAAGTGCTTTTTGTTTTAGGCGAACCTGAAACTTTTCAATTTGTGCTGTGTCCCATCTTCATTTACTCTTTACCAGTAACATATATTTACACATCTGAACAAATCTAACAAGTGTTCCTTTTATTACAACATCAAAATTATTCAAATAGACATTGTGGTTGCAGAGATATACTCTCTTTAGTATGGGTATGCAATTTTCGAGCAGAGGCCTAAAAAAATAGGTTTGTTTTGATTTGTACTGCTAAGCTTGGTGAATTCCAATATTTTTTGTGTGTTGCAGTGTATTATGTGTATTATGGCTGTACCAGGACATTGAGCAGATAAATTGCATACATCACCGCTTGTTTTTGAGTGTGTATTAATTTGCTCTACAGTCAATTGGTTGCCTACATCACTGTTTTTTTAGTTAGCTCACTTATATTGTTTTATACGGAGTGTTTGGTTTAGCGTTGATGGAACTACCAGTACACACACTGCTGTACCCATGCATCACTGATTATTTGTGTCGTGCTGAGGTGTTGAAATATTAACCTCTTATCTACCATTATGCTAAGGCCACTAACCACAGCCAAACATGGATGCCAGCAGGGCAGACGGGCGAACAGTGTGTGGCAGCACACTGAGGGGAGGGGCGAGTGTTTGCTGGACTCCTTCCTGAACCAAACGGAGAGCCAGATGTCGGGGAGCAAAGCTCGGTGGAGCATGCTAAGTGGATGAATGGTTTCCCATGTGTCTTCCTACAGAGACACATGGCTTTATAACAGTGTACACTGAAAACAGGTCTGGTGGAAAACCTAACCCTAACCCTTCCATAAAGTCTGTGTCCATGTATGAACCAATCTTCACACAAGCTTTCTCAGCTGTGTTCTTCATTAAGTGTCTTAGTTGTCTTTCTTAATGGCTATCTCATCTGTTTGTTTACTTATGACCGGTCAAGGGAAGATAGTAAATCTGTTGTGTTCACGTCAGTATATACGTAGGCTGATTTACAACCATGACGTTTCCTGATTAGGATAAGATGACCCTTGAACAGAACGAATTGTCAAAGAAACGGCTCCAAAGTGATGGTCCAGATCTTATGCAAATTACTCTGTGCCAACGCATTTGTGTGTTATCCATAGTGTATATATATCAGAGACTCAGAGACAGACCTTTGAGCAGCCTTGATGCATAACCTGTTTGTGAATCAACTCTGTCTCCTTCTTGCAAGAATAAATGTCCTGTTTAATGATTTTTTACATCGGCCTCGAGTGAATTTTTCTAACAAGGTCACAACCCAGCACCCCAACAGTAGTGATTGTCTTGTATTTTATTTGTGACTGGAGCTAAAACCAAATCATGTCGAGGGATTAAGGGGTACCTCAGAGGAATATTAGAATAGATCTTGATGAAAATCGCAATACCCTACAGAAAATAAAGAGCGATGTAAATCAAGTGAAAAATAAATAGAGTTTATTAACCTGAATTACAAAAAGATATATTGTACTTTTTTTACCTAACTCCATAGAAATATAGCTGTAGTCATAGTACTTCTGGTTTTGATCGTGGTCTGAGCAAGGGGGGCAAAGGGGCCATTGCCCCATACCAGTTTACTCCCCTGGCCCTTTTTGGCATCATGAAACTTTACAGCTGTGTAGTCAAGATCAAAATGAAGGTTGAGTTTGAAGATGGCCGCGGTCCAAGTAAGGGCGCCAGAAGTAGGAGTGTAGGAAGTTGGGAAGTGGCCATTGGCCCCACCACTTTACACCCCTGGCCCAATTTACCATCGCTGCTGGTGTGATCCCATCGTAAGACGGTTTCTTGTGGTAAACTGTATTTATAGGAGATCTGAGGTCTCTAATACTTTCATTTTCTGGAAAGTCAAATGCTTCCGCTTCACCACAAATAAAATTCCTTTCACCAGGAGGCAGACTTCACAAACACTGCAAAACAAATCTAAAACATCTGAATGGCCAGACGCCACTATTGTACTATTTACATCTCATTATGCTGTTGATACAGAAGCTATTGCCAACATCAGATAGAGTTTTCCTCTGGTTATTATTCCTCACAGACACTGAGGGGAATGCGAGGAGGTGGTACAAAAACACACCACATGTATTATTTTTAGACTGATGGATTATGATCCTTGCCAGGCTGCTATTTTTGTTCTGTACAAATAACCCACTAACTAATGCACATTCAGTTATTAAGAGATTTCTATTTCAGTACCAATCCGTATTCAGCGACATTTCAAATCTCTTTCTATTTTTCTGCTGATAGAAAGGTGCATACAGTTTTCTAATGAATAACAACTTAACTTGCAAATGACCCATCTTGAGGACATCCACATATGACACTGTTGCCTCCGGTGTGCCTCCCTCCATTTTTATAGATATCCTCCATTAGTGACCACAGCAGAGACATTCAATAACCAATGTGTCAGCAGCAGCATTCACATAATGAATTGATGGCCTTCACTTTACACATCATGACATCCACTCTTGCTCTGAACACAAGGCAACTTTTTCTTCTGCAGGGATCACTAAACACAAAGAAAGTACATTTGACTTTTTTGACACGTTAATGAACATTTACCAAGGTGATAATTTTCACCACAGATATACTACTCGTTATTGCAGTTGCTGAGTTGAAGATGAACTATATTGCATACACACTGACACTATATAACAAATATGTGCTATTAAGTGCATGCAGAGATGTGTGGAACATGCCGTTCCCTGCAGGGTGACTCACACAGGCGGGCATTTCAAAGGTGATGGGCGACACCAATAGATAACACATACATTGAGAAAAAAAATGTGTGTATGTGTGATGAAAGGACATGTTGTTATGCTCCATTTCTTTCTGGTTACAGTCATTTTAACCAATGAGGGTGCAATTTACCTAAAAATCCCCAAATCAGATCTTTTTGTTGTTGAGGACCTGAAAACTTGCTAGAGAGTTCCAGGAGTTTTGTCCAATGCACGGGTGACAATGGTTTGTCGCCTAGGAAACAGGTTGGATTGGTTCCTTGGCCTACAAGGAAACGTGGGACTGAACATTGGACCAAAAAATTATTTTAGATCAACATAGTTATCGGTAATCCTGTTCTCAAATGTTATCACAAACTTGATCAATTACTGAAAAAAAATCTGAATCAATGCAGCCCCTTTTTAAACCAATTAAAAGGAGAAAAAAAAATGTTGGTTCTCTAGAAGCGAAATGTAACTACACATGTCCCAAGCTAATTTTTAACCGTGGTCTGTAGCTCTCATGCCTATGGTAAGGTTTAGCTAGTGACTAAAGAGACACCGTTTTTTTCTCTTCTGCATTTGACTTCCTGTGCATATTTCTATCAACTCACAATGGTAGATAATGCCATTATCAACATAAACTCACAAGAGGGCTTATATATTTTCTCAACCTCTCAAGAGGTTTGGAAAAGCTGATTCAAAGATATCATTATTTGTGGCTGTCTGGTTCTGATGTATATCAAACATTTAAAGGGTAAAAAGGATGAGCAGACTGCTCATGCTGGATTAGTCTCACTGACACAATGTGGCAACTGAAATAGGTTGGTACCAAATGCTGTTGGGGGAATCTTCCGTTTCCCACTCTGGCTTCGCTCCCAGCCTAATTCCCAGTATCTGTTCCAGTATGTTACGATTTAGAAATTATTTCTAAATAGATATTTGTCAGATGACAGATGACTACTCAACCTGTTGCATGTCTGTTTAACAACTAGACAATGAGTTCTCGTTGGATTTGTGGGCTTTTGCGTCGCTGCTGCAGAATGAACATGTGAAACACGGGACTGACTGATTGACAGAATGGAACAGATGGACGGAAAATGTCATAGATAAGTCCACACAGGCTGGATAAAGGAGGGACCTGTGCGGCACTGGTATGTAGGTAGGTACAGTGGCTTCAAGGGTCCTACGTACATGGTCTGCAGGAGGCTCTGTGGAACCGTACAGCCAGCCTTGGGAGGGAAGTTCCAAAACAATCCAGGCCCCATCTAGCAGTGGGTATAAAATACAAGAAACAAGATCTACTGTACTGGTGTTGGTGCATTGCAGGTGCAAAGGTAGTAATAAGATTCACAGAATTATGTGAGGAGACTCCATGCAATAAAACTACACAGAGCAGACAGAAGGTATCATTAGGTAGGAGGCAGAGATGAATAGGATCCTGTGGAAATTGCCGGGGAGAGAAATGTGAAGGTTAACATTTAATAGAAGACTTGTGCGATTGATGCTAATCTAGTTATTAGATTTTATAATCAATAACAAATCCAGTGTGAGGTCTTTAAAGTTGCATTAACTGACTGTTATGGTGGCCAGAAAGAAGTCCAACAACACAGACTGTAATTCACATGAATAATACTGTAGTTCCATTTCCCAATAGACACAAGGAAACTAATTAGAGCAGAGATCCAAAAGAAGCATCTAGCAAATCAGCATGCAAAACACGGTGATAACAACATTGCTTTTTTCCAGTGGCCCACTTGCAGTGCCAGCCTTCATTGTTGAAAATGCCACAGGGTGGGAGAGGGGATGGAGGTGGTGACAGTGGGGTCTTTGGACTCCGAGGAGTAAGAAGAGTTGTTCCAAAACAGAGAGAACCAGAAACACAGAGAAAGCCTTGCACACCCGAAATCTCTGAAACGTCTTAATCAATGACTCAACAGTATTTATCAGCATCTATATGAATCATATGGAATCACCAGTTTATTCTAAAGGACAGTTGAAACCTTACCTATTGCCTCTTTACCCTTTAAGTCAAACTGACAACATAAAAATATATGCTGCATTCAATTTGGAAAGGGAAATCGGAATTTCTGATTTCAACTAGACCACCACCTGAAGTCGGCTTTCTGAATCTGAAAGTTGTGGTGTTTGTATGCTCAAAATACTGCCGTAATGTGTCGTTATCAACTGGTAATGCTAATAATAGCTATCCTGACTGGAGCAAACCCCATTAAGTGTTCTGACTTGTTATACTGGAACGCAGTCAACTCTGGTGTGACGTCATAGCAAGCTCCTATTTCCAATTTCCGAGGTAAATGGAATGTAGCAATAGTAGGAAAATACACTGATAACACTTTAACAACTTTCAACATTTAGGAAATGCAGTCGTGCTTTTAAGCTCACATTCCAGTCAGAAAGCGAAAATTAGCTAACTAGCTAGTTAGCCTACCTTGCTAAGGTTAGCCCTGATAGACATTTAGGGGAGGGGGGGTAGCTAGCTTCAGCTGTCTTTCATTGGCCCAGTTATGGGGAATGACCAGACTGTCAAGACAGACTGTTTCTTTTTCTAGGGAAAATGTATTATAATTTCAGTTTTGACTTTAATTCTGGTTTTTCGCACAAATAGTGAGCTACTGCCATTCAAAAACTCCCAAATCCTTTCTCCAAATATGGGCTCACTGAAGCAGTGATGAGTTACGTAGTAGCTCATGTAGGAACAACAGCAGCAGCGTATTGCTCTTTGTAAATCTATTTATAAACCCCGAGCTGAGAAACAGACCCACTCCCAAAGGCTCGGCTTCATTGGTTTCATGTGCCGATAGAGCAGCGCAGCACTGAAAAAAGCCAATAGGTGGCGTTAGAAAAAGAGGGGGGGCCAATTCACTAAAGGATTGAGTTGCTTTTAGGGATACTAAACTTGCACGAATCAGACAAAAAGGTAGAAAAGTGCAATTGCTGCCAAATGAAATATACACATTTAAATGAAGTCAAATCCAGACAAAATGTGCCCTATTTATGCAAATGAGCCTCATTGCACTAACAGTCCAATTCACAAAGAACAGCGCTAATAGCCGAACACAGTTACAGTGAAATTATTTGAGTCTTCAGAGAGCTGGTGGTAGCTGAAGCGTTAAGGGGTGTTCACTCAAACTCGTTTATTTTGGGACGCACTGACAGGATGCAATGACAGTTTTCTCATGAAAATAAATAAAATATTGTTTTAGAGTAGATGAGAAAAAAAACTAGCTTAAATTGAATGAAAAATAAGGTGATTATATAAACAAATGAAAAAATGATTTCTTCCCTCTGCAAAAAAACAGCAAAATGCATTAAAATACCAATATTTGTGGGCTTGTTTACCCTGTAATATCTTTAGCCCATTCTCTTTTGTGAATGGGACATTGAGATGGGCCATATAGTGGTTTCAAGTGAAGCGCAATTTATGGTGCTGTTCCTTGTGAATTCGCCCAATAATGTGAAAACACTTCTTGCCAGGAGACGATAAGACGAGCAGAGTTCTCCAACAGAAGAGGACCAAAAAAAAAAAAAAAGGGACATACAGCGTGTTGCTATTACAGTGGGAAGCTTTTGAGTGGGATGCAACATAACATCTCCTTAATCTAGTCTAGTTATGGTTTGACCCAGACAGGCCCTTTAAAAATATATACATATATATTTGAGACTTATGAGGTTTATTAGTAGCATTTCCAATTTGTTACAATTCACAAAAAGGACTTAAATCCTATGTCTTTTAAGTCTTACATTTTCTTCAGTCTTTCAGCAGCATTCAGCTAATGCAAGCAGATTCGCTACACTGCTTGCTAGCACAAGCCTGCAATTCAATCATCTTTTATGACTGCCACCTACTGTACTGTAGATTCAGCATTCAGAAACCAAACACTATTTTCTATACATGCCCCTTTAGACTTAAGTCTGTTGTATTTACTGAGAGTGAAAACACTTTTTCTAGAAGCAGCCACTTCAACACACCAACCAAGTTTCACTGTAAATATAAGTATCAAGACAATGTGCCTCTCAGCACAAACACATGATCTTTTTAGTTGTGTTCATAGGCAACGTCTGTAGTGTAAATGGCGTACTTTTTTTTCTGCAGGGACAATAAATTCAACCTGCCGACGTGCTACTCACTCCATTGCAGAGGCTGGCGATGGGAGGTGTGTGTGTGTGTGTGTGTGTGTGTGTGTGTGTGTGTGTAATGGGGAGGAGGTGGGGGTTGAAGTAAAGTATAGAGTACAAAGCAGCAGGGCTACACACACACACAGACAATGTGCCAAAACTCCTTTTACCATCCTCCTGTTCATCTGCAGCATATTGAAGCTTAACTCCAAATTTCTTAGACGGAGAAAAAAATATTCTGCTTGTGTCAGCTTCACAAAGACTTTTAGAGCCTTGATTTTTTGGGGGGGGGTACAAAAACACTGTTTCACACACATTCTCAGACAAAAAAAACAAATTATGCTCCAGACGGATCAAGCTTTACTGTACCTGTGGTGGAGTAGAGATCTTTTCCAGTCGGTACGGTCGGGTTTAGCTGTTCTCCGCTCCCAGTGTTCGTGTGAGCGTCCCTCAAGCTGCTGAGGATTGGAATAGTGGACGTTGTGTGTGTGTCTGTGGACTAAACGAAACGAGAGAGAGAGATTAGTCTCTCTTTCTCTATCTCCCTCCCCTTGCCGATGATAAACAGAGAGCACGTGGCCTCACCAATGATGCGGCGGGAAGTGAAAAAGTGACAAAGGGTGGGAGGGAGGAAGAAAGGGGGCAAGTAGAGGAGAGCAGACAAGGGGGAAAGAGTTGAGTCTGGCTGGGAAGGAGATGTGTGTGTTCATGTTGTTCTCGAAAGCAGGACACTGCAGCTTTGAGTTGGCGAACACCAGCGTGGAAATTACTCATACCTTTTTTTGAGCACGCCGACAAATATGTGACAGAAAATATCTTCTTTTGAACATCCAATTGTGACACAAATATCGGATCGCAGACATCCTTACACACGCACACACCAACCGACAGGCAACCAGGGGAGCTTTGTTGTCTGCTCAAAGGAATTCACCATGTTTGGGCAACTGGGGCATGATGGAAACACTGATTACTGATAGCAGCATCATCCAGTAATCCATGGCAGAACTTCAGCAGAGACTCCTTTGAATATAATATGACACATTTATAACAGGAGATATTCTAGGCCTCTGAAGCGCAGTTGTTTGTACAAAGCTTCAAATATGTCATCCTTCCAGATCAGTCCGCTTCACCGCTAGATATTTGGTTGAGAGTTCTTAAGCAGCCCCGAATCCTGAAAATTATGTTCCTATACTACAAAAATGCATAGTGAACTACATTTTGTTTTTGATCATATCTGCTTTTGAAGTATCAAAAATACGTCACCGGAAGCCCACGCAGGAAGGAAGTATATGTGGGGGTCACTAAATACACTTTAACCCAGGAGACTGCCGTTTGTGTCCCGTGTTTTGTTGAGTCTTTGTTTTTTATTCAATTTCGTAGTCATTTAAAGCCATACCATGATGTGCTTTTACTAAAACCAACCAAGTACTTTTTTTGTCGTTTGTTTCAATTTACAAGGTTAACCACGTGTTTCAACTGTGACCGTAATCTGGGAGAAAACATGTTTATCTGGAAACAATTTAAAGTGAGACATTTTAGTTGTATGGGAAGGCAATTTTGTAAAAGACAGGGCTGACAGATAATGCAGGAGACCAGGGGGCTGATCTGTAAGGAAGAACATATCTGATTAGTCCTCAGCACCCTACATTGCTGTTTACCAAAGCCTTAAAAGGCAACTTCGTCATTTTTCAACCTCAACCCTATTTTCTTATGTCTTTGTGTCATAAGAAAAAGTGATTAATGAGGATAACAGTTTTTGGTCCAGTATTGAGGGAGAATGCCGCAGACGGCAGCTGATAAACGGGCTGTGATGTAGTCCTTCAGGGCAATTCCTTACCGTCAAAAAACGTCCACTAAAAGTGTTTGTTTTTGCCAATGACAGGCACAGATTGTTATGAGAAGGATCTGTCAACATTATGGAATGAAACCTACAGCTAAATAGAACATTTTTCTTTACCTTTTGCTTTCTGTCTGTCATTGTGTCATGTGACTTGTTGCCGGAAGACAACTTAGGAAACATGAGAGTTGGAGAGAGAGAGTGCCGGTGTTGTCAGAGTTTGTTGTGTTGGAGAACAAGAATCATAGCTCAGTGTTATCTAAAGGATTTTCAATCTCATGGGTGAATATTAAGATGATTTCAACAATGTGGATGCAACGCAAGATTTCAGAATGATACTTCTTGGAGCGAGACTTGGTTGGACACAATAACAAATAGACCGGATGGACCAAGCGAAAGGTAAAGAAAAAAGGAATTTGTCTGTTGGGTTACAGTAACAAGCGTGAAATAGTGGAGGTAAACTTGGTTGGTTGCTTTTTGTTTTACAAAAAGAGCGGCTGTAGGAAAAATTTGTAAACTTTTTTCTCATCGTCTGTGAGCAAGATTAATGGGAACTGAATTCAAGCTGAAGGTCCGTCTCCTAGAGCCATCGCACGCTCTACTCGCAGCAGAGTAGTCTCCTGGCGGAGGGGAGGACGAAGTGAGGCTGTGAATCATTTTCTTGAGTCGTTTTCACTTCTGATTTAATCCAATAGAAAACAATCAAAATGTCCAAGGACCATGGACATACTATTGACAAGCGCCAGGGGAAGCTGTACTTCTTCGTCCCCTCATGTTGGACTGAGTGCAGACTGGACACTACAGTGACTCACTATCGCCTTTCCAAGTACGAGTGATATTACAAGAGTGGAGGGGCTGGGGCTAGCTGACTAGCATGCTCATTTCAGTAGATATCCCTGCAACACAATACATAGATGTCTTCGACAAAACGTCAGAAATGTTCATGTACATCAATAATGTTAATTTTGTCACGGGAGTTCAGGATCAGGACCCAACAGCAACCACAGGACACAGAATACGGTATAAAGAGATTTTATCTATACCTGACAGATGATAGAACTGGCTGTGTGGAGCCCGTGGTCCGATTCAGAATTGCAGGCCAGATCGACGATGTGATTCCCGTGGATCGACACCGGAGGCAGGCAGATCGACGGTGTGATTCCCGTGGATCGACACTGGAGGGCAGGCAGATCGACGCTGTGATTCCCGTGGATCGACACCGGAGGGCAGGCAGATCGACGCTGTGATTCCCGTGGTTCGACACCGGAGGCAGGCAGATTAACAAGTACTCTACACCCGTAGCAGAGAGGAGAGAGATGAGCACAGGAATCGTCAACGGGAATTTACGGGCGGCGGTAGCGGAATACCGAGGCAAAAGACAGTACGGGGTTGAAGCGGGTGAAAGACGGTACAGACTGACAACCCAAGACTGCAGGACCAGGGTTGATATAGTGCCAGGGGGATGATTAGTGGGATAAGAATCTCGTGTGTCAGCCTGCAGGAGGTAATCGGCTGGAGTGTCTGCAGCTGTGCACTAATCAGGGGTGTGGCCATGGGAGGTGTCTGGAGGCCGAGGAAAATCACAGAGCACATGGCACACAATAACAAACAGGGGAATGTCAGAACACATGAGGAGAGGAGATCAGGGGAAACAGAGGTAACACACAACGGGTCAGACAGGGATCCTGACACATTTTTTGAGTGTTTTTAACAAAAATTCTGGCCTGATCTTACACATGGCCCCTTTAAAGAGACTTCAATAGAGAGTTAATTAAATACAGAATCATTTTTTCTTTGGCAAGTGTCTTTGCCACAACCATGAAAATATCCTTTGACAGTCTCATTAAGCTCGCTCATTCGGGTGTTTTCACACGAGAAAACACTGCGTTCACCTTGGAAATCTTTATGACACCTTGTTGAGTCACTGCTGAGTTCTGTTTCTACTGACAACACTACTCTTCTCTGACAACTTGCTAAATTAAGTTGACTGAACAGAGTCGCTATGGTTCACATTTGATAATTTGCACAAATCAGATCTTCTCCAAACATATGACGCCATGTCAATCTGGGTAACAAATAAAACAATACGTCAAACACAAACGTAATCAGGGAGAAAATACATTTTTAGTCAAACGTAATTGAGAATGCATTTTAGTTTTGGGGGAACGTCATTTTTAGGAGACACGGTTGTCCCTTGAGTCCTCACTAATTTCCAAAATTTGCTTGGCAATTTCTTTCCACTTGCTTCATTAGCACAAGTTTTTTTTTTTGGTCCAGA